TAAAAAAAAATAATACAATTTTTTGTTACAAAACTCTGAAAACCATTAATTTTACTTATTACTCATATATTGATTACTTTCACAGGTTCAATATGAATATATTTATGACGTGGCCTTGCGGTTTCTAGAAGATTTTGAGTTATATTCAAATTTTCATTAACATCTTGACCAAACATGTGATAATGTATACTATTAAAATATAATTTTATGATGTATCCAAGTATTAACTATTCCTATATTTAGCTTTATTTTAATATAAAGCTTTTGTAACCTCTAGAGATAAATTCATTATATATAAAAATAAAGAAATCCATTTTATATTAAAAATTGTCGTTGTTTTCCATATAAATTAAAAGCTCAAATTTATTAATTAGTCAAAAATCTACTTTTTGAATTGCATTTGATCCGCGTTATCAATTTGTTTTTATTTACTTCTAGGATGATCAATTATTGTAATTGTTCAAAAATCGAAATGGAAATTTTTTGCATATCTATACGTTTCAGATGTTTCTGAACATTTTGGCATATCAAAAAAAATTAATGTGTGTGTGCGCGCACAAAAAAAATTAATGTGTGTGTGTCCACGTTTTCGGAAGCACGGATCAACCTATTTTATATATTCATAAAGCATTCGATTCCTACTGATCAGGAGACGTACGGGTTAGTTTTTGGCAAATGTCGGTTCAGCCGTTTCGGAGTTAGGGAGCAAAGAGTGCAGATTTTTTTTTTATTTATTTTTCATAGCAAGCTATACAAAGTACATTCAGCTACATTTGTTACAGTTATATATTATTTGACTGCGTGGAAAGGATCGCCATCCTGCGATGGCGCCTTCATAGATGTTATGTTATTTTTTTTTTCTTTATTTTTATTGGCCTCGCTTACTCGAGCATTTAGCCACCTACAACATATTTTAATTTCATTACAATATTTCAATTTCAATACAATCTTCATGTTCATACTATTTTTCTCATATAAATCCTATTCTTCTTCCTATTTATTCTATCCTATTCTATGTACTCATCAACGTAACTTCATTCTTCTTTTTCTTCTTTATTATCTATCTTCTTATGTCTTCATTACTTCTATTCTTACTTCCATTACTTCTTTCATTACTTCTATTCAATTTAATTTTTATTCTCAAACCTTTTTATATACGATTGAACTATTTCTAATACTATTTCAAACTACTTTTAACTTTATTCCAAACTATTTTTAATAGTATTTCTATATTATGCCGGGGATTCGAACTTCGAACCTCTGGCGTTTGAATCGGAAACGCTGCACATGAGCTAATTCCGCCACATGTTATGTTATATTTTGTAGTAAATCATTACAGATTCTTTTTTTGAGACGCTTTGGTGGTAAAGGCTTGAGCAGATCTAACGCTAATACGTTTGGATGATGACTTAGATAAGCTTTGTATCTGGTGCAGTAAAGACTAATTTCTTCTTCTATAGTTCGAATTCTGAGATTTTGATGTATCAACCAATTGGGAACGTATTTTGGAGCGTTCACGATGTCTTTCAAGATTTTATTTTGGAACCTTTGTAGAACTGTTATGTTCGATTTACTGGCCGCACCCACCCATAGTAGTAGGCCGTAGAACCATATTGGTTTAATAATTGTCTTGTATATTAAGAGTTTATTTTCTATTGTGACTTGTGATTTCCAGCCCATTAACCAATTAAGTTGCCTACGTGTTATTTCAAACTGATGACGCTTCTTTAGACCAAGAAAACTACCTTGGGGGATTCCGGAAGAAATATTTTTAACATTATATGAAGCATCATTAAAACTGATGAAGAACCTTCTATCACACAGATATGATTTTAGGAGGAGATAATAGTTGTATGGTAAATTCTTCTTTAATTTGTACAATAAGCCGTTATGCCAAACTTTATCAAAAGCCTGACTGATGTCAAGAAAAAGAACTGAACAATATTTTTTGAAGTGAAAAACTTTATAAATGGAACCCTCAACTCTATGTATTTGTTCTATTGTTGAGTGCAGATAATGACAATTAGGATTTTGAGGGAACAGAGCATCTGATTTGAATGATTCAAAAAGCATTCGTTTCCTACTGATAAGGAGATGTGCTGATTAGTTTCTGGCTAAAGATGGTCCAGTTGTTTCGGAGATAAGGGGCAAAGAGTGCAGAAAATGTTAATTAAGATTTTGAGAGAACGGAGCATCTGATTTGAATGATTCAAAAAACATTTCACTTGCATTGATAAATTTCTAGGGAATCTAAAGGAATTGATAATTTTTTAGCGAATCTAAAGAAATTGATAAATTTTTAGCGAAAGTAGGCCTGTTTCAGAGATGAGGATCAGAAAGTGTAAAATATAGTAGTTTTTGAGAGAATAAACATCCGATATGAATGATTCAAAGAAAGTGTTGCTTGTGAAAAAACTTCAAGTTTAGGAAGGCAAAATATTCTCCGAAAACTTCTAAAAAAATCAATTCATTTTATATAATTCTTACAAATATGTGAAAGATCTGTCATTCCAACCCCGCTTGATCAAGTTTTGTTCATTTACTTTTAATGAAAACATATTTATAACGTTATCGTCCAATTCATAAGCTCTTATATTTTTTTTATAAAATACAAATAATAAAATTACAGTATTTTGTAATAACTATTTGAAAACATTTTAAAACACTTATTTGAAAACACTTCAAATGTTTCATTACGGCGCGGGATATTTTATATACACAAGTTTTATACATATAACTTTATGCTTCATGATCTTCCGATAATTACTTACCAATTATTGACAAAATGAAATTTATAAGTGTTTATGAGCATGTACACTGTATTTATTAGGATCTCATTGGATTTTTATTATTGGAGGCAGGTCCAAAATTTTCAAAGATACCACGGTGAAGGAGATATAATTGTTACAGCATCTATGCATCTTTACTTCGTAGAAATATGATTAGTGGATCGCAAGATATATAAACCCTTAGGTCTTCTATATCATAATTTTTTAAATACAACCAAAGCTTTTTGAAATTTAAAAAAAATCCATGTCATTTTATACTCTAATTTTCTTATATTACTTTGTAAAACTAGGTCACAATCCCAAAACAACAAGCTGGTAATAGTTACAGCATCTATCCATCTTTACTTCGTAGAAATATAGAGGATCGCAAGATATATTAATTTAAAAAAAACTTAGCTTTTCTATATAAAATTTATATTTCTATTTCTAAAATTTTAAAAAGATGTAATTTTATATCCTAATTTTCCTACATTACTTTGTAAAACTAAGTCACGATCCCAAGCTGTTAATACTCACAGTATGAATAAGAATTCAAAAGTATCAATGAACAAAATATGTGCAATAAATATATGTTTCCTTGTTAGTTTGTGAAACGCGCATGCCTAATTTGTAAACGTTCTCCGTTCGGGAAATAAGTCTATATAAGGCGAATCGAATGACGTTACATGAGTTTAGCCAAAGCCCACATCGTTTATGCTGAATTGCCAAAGACACGACAAACAAGAAATCTTTCACTCCCATAAAACGCGACAAACAACGATCGCCCACGGATCACGCAAAATCTTACGTACATATATATAAGGCTCAGACGCAGAGTCGAATGAGTACATCCGAATCAGAGATCACGAATTCGACATCAGTTCTATATCGATTGTATGTTGCGCAATTGCAATAACTATGTCTGTCAGAGATCACCGAATTTTTATTGAGACAAATGTGAAGCAAACATTAATTCAGAGATGTTTAGACGTATTGTTCGTACGTGTTTTTAAGGAAATACATAGTTGCCAATTCTACAGCCTTCCTACTCTCTACAGGACCGGTCTTCACATCAATAAAATACAACGTGTTTCCAATCATGTTCTGGTAGGTTCGTCGACAACATGTGCTTGATAAACTTACATTCCAAATTAACTTCCCGTAGGGCAAGTTATAGTAATCGCAAAAAAA